AAATTTCAGAAGAGTTTCTAATGACTTCTAGTTCTGGCAAAAACACATTTTCCTCACTGAGGCTTTGGAAACGAAGGACTTAGCAGCTGACAGAGCAGCACATGTTGACATGGAGGTGTTTTTCTGCTGCCTGTTATCAGTTTTGTGAATAGGTTTGAGCCAAGTCATTCATTAATAGCAATTATGAGGAAAAATCCACTTTTAAAGGCTAAAAGGTCTGCAAACCTTTGTGACTCCCGGCTGTAACTTTCGGGTCATGTTTGGGACTCGGTACGGTCTGGACAAGTTCTTCATCCGGCCAACCGGATTTTATAGGGAGGATGATGACGATGCTATGGATTTTTCTTTCTTTCGCAGAGGTCCTTGTTGATAACCCATGCCTACATTTATACTCGCCGCACTTTAGTCAAATTTAAAAAAAAAGAAAGAAATAAAAATAAAAAGCTCAGCTTTGAAATCTGCAAGACTTCTTATCTCTGCACGGTGAATTAAAGCCTTCCTTTGATACTGGTCCATAATTTTATAGCGTGACATGCCTTTTTCTCATGCTGTAGAGTTAAAAAAAAAAAAAAGTAGCACGGTTTTTCTGTGTGTGTGTGTGTGTGGTGAAAAAAACAACAACATGTATCTGTGTGTTTTAAAGGCTTCTGGACTCTGCAGCTTGAAAACAAACCCCCGCAGTCGCTGCTGTTTTGTTTCAGGCTCCCCCCCAGCTCTTTAAGTTTCACATTCATTGTTGGGATTTGCTGTGGAAAATTACAGTGAACGTTCCCCTGCACAGATTATGAAACGCTCTACACCCAGAACTCAGTCTCATCAGCGGCTCTTTGCCTCATTTCACTCAAATAACACGGCCGCATATTTAACTTTGTTCGCCATTGACGGCTCCCAACAACACGACTGTCTCAGCGCCACATTTGCCGGATATTTCCTGCTAATGTTAAAAGCGTAGCTCTGGTTATCTAAGCGTTGAGGGACCCCCGCAGGGAAATAAAACACAATCTAGTGTAAGACTGACGGTTAACGACGGACAGCGATTTGCATTCATCACTGGCCTCCTGGATTGTTTCTATCTTTTGGTGTTTGTTCAAACGTAAGCCAACTCAATGACTGACTCACAAGTGGATTCCGGCTTAAAGAGGGATTAATTATAGATTAGGCAGGAAAAATGTAAGTTTTTTTTATTTAAACCGCTGGCGTCATGATCTAGAGAGAGTTTCTTTTTTAAATATTTTTTTTCTGTATGTGCTATGATGTATTCCTGCTTGATTTCTTCCTGTTTAGTAGTTTCCTGTTGTGTCACTGTCCTCTCGTTAGATTTTCGGGAACCAGCTCACGTGAGGGGAAAGGAAAAGAGACGGTGCTGCGAAAGGCATCTCCATCTCACTCCGCCGCCGTAGAGGAATGTCGGCCCACTTGACTTTGCATGATTGTTGAAATTCGGCCATATTGAAGAGGTTTTCCAGCCTGAGGAGCCCTTCTGAGGTCGAATTACCAGAGCTCTTCTTCTTCTCTTTCAGCTTTTCCCTCCGGTGTTTGCCACATCTCTACTTTGTCCTCTTCCCTCCCTCCCTCATGTCCTCTTCCACCACATCCATAAGTCTCCATAACGATTCGTACGAGTCCACTACAAAAACTTTCACTTACTTTTTCAGGTGCCCAGACTTTGATGATCTGATTTCAGTAGCCGAGGTCAGGCTTTGTTACTTTTTAAAATATTTCAGCCTACTTCCTGTTGTCAGACGTGTCCTGTTTAAGTGATTTTTCTTTCGCTTCTACAACTGAATAAGCCTGGCAAGTGAAATTCAACCAAACAAACGTCTCATGATTTATTACTGCAGCTGCGTATTTTGAGGACAGACAGTCGGGTTTCCTGCAGAACTAAAGTGAAAACGTCGTAGAGAAAAACCTTGACCCAAGCATTTGACCTGCTGCTGTTTACCAGACGAGGAACCCGGTGTTCTCACATAAAAATGACATTTGCATCAACTTTTCAAATAAACATTTTAATTAAAAGTGTTTTACTGTAATCAATCAATAAATAAAAGTTCTAATTCCTCTCGATGTCTGAACCCGAAGCACATTTCAGAGAACATGAATTTACATGTCATCGGATGTCGCTTCACGGTTTTCATGGTTTTGACGTTTGTCGTCATAAAATGTTTTTTTTTTCTTTTTTAGTATACAACAGTAAGATCTTGATATCAACAACACACCAAGGAAAAAAAATATATATATATTTTCTGCTTTGAACAATAACTCCACTCAGAGCAACAGCAAAGCAGCTTTTCAAAGAGTCCAATTTGCACCGTGGAGATAAATCCGACTCCCTGGAGACGGAAATTGCCAAACATCACGGCAGATCTTAAGAAATGTTCTTCCTTTCAGGTGGCAAAGAGTTCACAGTGGTATCTTCATGTCAGCAAATGGAACACCATGCTGCTCTATTCTTCTTTTTTTTCATCTAAGCTGAAAAGGTATTAAATAATAATAATAATAAAAGACATGAGATCAGATTTTATTTTAAAGCTGGGTTTACTTTCCAGCATCCCAGTGCATGTAAATGAGTTTCTGTGTACGGCCATGCTGCCCTCCGTTGACTCTCGGCGGTATTGTTCTGACTCAAACTACAGGCTTCTGTGATACAGTTCAGGTTTTCTTTTTCATTTTTTTGTTTATGTTTTGTGTGTGTGTGAGGGTGATAACGTCGCCATTTGCCAGCTCAGATTCTTCTGCATTTAAAGAAAGTGTCACCCTATGCTGTGACCTCCAGGCTTGCTCTGCACATTGTAATTAGTTGCAGGCTGCCGTGTCAAACACCTGCAGCACTAACCCGGGCTTAGGAACGCGACTACAAATTTTGTGCTTACGTTTAGAAAAAAACAAAGCTTCTCCGACCCCTTTTAATGGGAAAACAATAAGATGGCTCTCCGCCAGCCTCCTGTATAGTTGCTGCCTGAGGCTAAGTCACCACAGAATTACAAACAGGCCAGAGAGGTGATGCTGCTGCTTTGCTGTCAGTGGGCGGAAACGTACTCTACGCTTTTATGCCCACAGTACAGACACAAACGCAGTAGAGCTTCCTTCCCGCGCTGCAATGCACCGCCTCGTTTTGCGAGGATAAAAACTGGACATTGCAGAAAGAAGTTGGTCAACTGATGGCGGAGGAAACGCAGCGAGGCTTTGAATGGGGTTTCATAAAAGCAACACTCCCCCGAATGCTTCACATTCAAACGATGGCTTGTGAGGTGGAGGAACGCGTCCACCTCTTTCACGGAGCAGCGTGTGGCGTTACAGTGACACCTAGTGGTGAAGTGACAGGTTGCAGTCAAGTCAATACCTCTGCAATGAATTAAAAAAAAAAAACGAGCCTCGTTTTGAGGCAATCTTCAAAGTTTGTAAAGTCAGTGTTTGGTTTTAACATCGACAGAGTTAAGAATGGCTGCATCAAATAAATGTTAACATCTGAGAAAGAAAGTATGAAGCACTTCTTCAATAATGTTTTAATTATCATTATTATTTTATTTTCAGACAAGCCTTGCTCTGTGTGGAAAAGTAAGGATGCTTTACACCCTAAAGCAGATAACTGGTGGTGCCATCCTTGAAGATAACAGCTGACTTTAATTAAAACGTGATCTTGAGTCTTTCTCTACATTCATTTTTGATGTTTTTATTTTGCCACATTGGAGGGTTTTCTTGCCTATTTGGGGTCATTTCACTGAATTTGAGTTCATACTTTGACTAGGCCACTCCAGCACTTACATATTTTTCCCTTTGAGTCATTCAGAGGTGGACTTGCTGGTGGGCTTTGTTTCATCATCTTGCTGCAACTGAACTTAAGCTTTAGGTTATAAACTAACAACCTTCTCCTGTGAGGTTTTTCTGCTGAGGAGGGAAATTCACGTTTCTGTCGACTACAGCGAGTCGTTCAGGTCCAAAAACAGCGAGGCGGCCGCAGACCATCACACTAATGCCCTCATCTCTGACCACTGGTACAACTTTCTAGTTCTTAAAAGCCAGTTTTACAGCCATGAAACATAATGATGTATACCTTGAAAAAACATGCTTAATCCCCTCAGTATGGCTTTAATTTAAGCAGAAATGTTTGGATAGCTATAACACAAGCAAAAAGGCTTTGTAGCATTTGCGCATCCAGGTTCAGTCCAGGAATATTTTTTCTATATATACGTAGATTAAAATACTCTTGATTGGTTGACTGGTTTCATTTACATGCAAAGTGATCTCAGGTACGGCAAGAATGAAGAGAAGCTGCCCTTGGGAAAAGCCGCATTTATGGCCCGAAGTGAAATAGAAGCAAAGTGAGCTGTGGTTTAATTACGTCGATGCTCAGGAGCGTTCAGCCGACGTACGGATTTCTGTTTCTGTTGCCATCAGCCAATACATTTCTTTGCTTGGTGGGATCTTGACTTTTCAGCCTCCGACTACAAAAAAAAACTAAAAAAGAAAAGAAGAAGAAGAATAGATGGTGACTGAGGTTGAAACAGTCTTTATGTCACCTTGGCACTCTTGTATTTTCTTGAGTTTCGAGAGGGATCGTTGAACAACGTTGTGCTTTACACTGCATGACACTTGATTTCTGAGAAAAAAAGATATTATCTCCACCAAAGCAGAAGGACACAGATTTAAATCCGGACCGAATGTTTACTTTGGAGGAAAACGTTTCCATTCTGCTCCTTTAACAAGAAAATAAGCTTGTTAAGTACTTGACACAAAGGAAACGCATTTTAACTTCACGTGTTCTTTTCATTGAAATCACACACAGGAAGTGATCTTTAAAATAGATTTTATTTACCATTTTGTAATTCAACAGTTTACGATATACAGGTGACAGGACTAAGACAGTTCAATGGATTTTGGCCCTAAAGGTTGAAGAACAAGAAAGAACACACATGGTTAGATAAATACACTGACAGACATATATATATATATATATATATATATATATATATATATATATATATATATATATATATATATATATATATATATATATATATATATATATATATATATATATATATATATATATATATGATAGAAAGTACCAGAAGAGCTGTGTTCTCTTTTCAACCTCTCCATCCCATCAAATGCAACACTGCAGTTTCTCTCCACCGTAACCTTGGATAACAAATTATTTTCTTTTCTTGTGCTTTTATTTTTTTTAAGAAAAAAAGAAATATGGAAATTTCTATATTCTGTTTTCAAAAAGGAAAAAAAACCCACTAAAGTGCTGCAGTATGAATATGCTCGTATGAACAGTAGTAAGAAATTCAAGAGGTAAAGTTCTGCCGTTTACCACAGAGATGCAGAAGGTCACAGTTTAGAGTTTTTCTCATCAGCACATTTCTGTTTGTTTGTTTGAGGAAAAAAAAAATCCTACGTTTATTTTTCATCAGCATCAGTATTTGTGGAGAGATGATGGAAGTGATTACTTATTAGTAGCTGGAGACCTGGATCAATTCTGTTTTTCTTTAGCAGTAGTTCAGGACATTTGGAGCACCAAACCCGCCACAATCAGGAAGAAATACAGAAATCATTCAGTCTTTATGCAAAGTAAAAAATACAACAACAAAAATTAGCTTTAGATCATTATGTAGGCGTACGAAGAGGAATAAATAATCAGCTCTACTGTTTTGTTTCTGTTGGTGCTTTTATTTGCTCACTTCCATTTGACTACTTTTGCATGTTTACGTCTGTACTGGTTTACTCTTATTGGTTTTATTTCCCCAAATGTTTTCAATACTGTGCTTTACTTTGTCAGAAAGCTGACAATCTTAGATTCAGATTTTTAAAATTCTTTACTCTTTTTCTCATTTTTATCTTTTATTTTATTTTTAGTTAATTGACCGTAATAAACAAAAAAAAACTTAAAAAGACAATATTGAAAACGCTAGGGGGGAAAAAAAATATCAAAGAATAGCAGTACAAAACTAAATATGTCCTTATATAAGTACATAAAAATGAAAGAAAATACATACATGAAAATTTAGAAGGATAAAATAAATAAACTAGTGCAGTTAAAGATTAAAATATAAATGTCAGTTTATTCCATATTGCAAGAATAAAAGTGAAGTCTTTTTTATCATTTCTTGGTGGTTTTGCACTCAAAGTAGTTCAATTTATTTCTGCATTTGCTCTTGATCGTGGCAAACGTGACTCTCCGTGTTGAACACACGACATTTCGCGTTTCCGACACGTTACATCTCGGATCATTTGACTGCAAAGTCACCAAAGAGATGACGCTTCCCGACGACGACGCGCACGGAAACGCGGAGGCGAGCTCTGAGTGCGGACCCAGCCTCGGCCGCAGGGCGATTTTGGTGTTTATGTTCCGCTTTTCACACAAATACGTCGACAGAAACAGCCAGAAACACGCTAACACCAAGGTAAACACTGAGATACTGTTGGCACTGCACAGCGTTAAAACAGCTTCGAGATGCAATACTGTTAAGGAGAAGAAAATTTAAAAAAATCAACAACAAGAAAACAAAAGCATTGTGATGCATGCGTCTCCATTCGTTTGTAGTTCAAGTTTCAATCCAAAGCTTTTTTGTTTGGCAATGCTTTTTAATATCAGCTGGCTTTTTTTCTTTCAACTTCAATGGGAACAACTTCAAAAACAAAGTGTCATGAACGATGGATAAACAATTCCTAAAGTACGAAGCTAACAATAGTCTTCTCTCTCAACTTCTAGTACAAAATCTGTTCATTTCTCTTCTTTTCCACTAACGGTTTTCACTGTTAGAGCTAACTAATTCTTGGGGATTACGGGGTACATGGACATCGACGCTGACAGCAGCCTGCTCTACATGCGGGTTTCTGCAGCGAGAGCTAATCTATTACACATGTAATACATAATACACCTGACATCGTCTACTTTACACTACCAGAAACATGACAAGTGAAAGTCAGTCAAAGCCCGCTCCTCCCTCGGATCCACGGAAACACAAACCCGCCCGAACCGAAGCAAAAGCAAACACAAACACAGTCTGATTATGTTGTTTCTTCTTCTTTTTTTTACATTACTGTACAATAGCAGGAGGAGATGAGGGTCCAGCAGAGTGAGTAAAGGGGTCGGTATGCATGGTGGTCACACGGAGACGGGCCGACAAACGAACGGGACGATGCCTGAGCTACATGTTTCCCACTAGACACCGAGCAAAAATACCTTCTTCTTTCACCTTTCAGCGAGCAAAACCCTATTTTACATTTATTTATTTTATTTTTTATTTAACGACACTAACCAAGAGATTTAGAAAGAGGATGATAATTCATGGGGTCAAAAAGCACCTGCTTTTCCTTTACCTTGATATTTAAAAAAAAAAGAGAAAAGAACATAGTAAAACACTCCTTATGGCTGGAATGATTGGTGTAAAAATATCTAGGAGATTAGCCAGGACTCATTCTCCGAGCTGTTCTGTACAAAAGCAAGTTAAAAGGCTGGAACACCATGTGTGCTTGTTTCAGAATGTCCATTGTGCTTCTTCGCATTTTACTTTATGTGCTCATATTTCTCTTATTGTTGCTCTATTAACACATCTCTCTTTTTTTTCTTCTTCTGTTTGGGCAGGTCGGTCTTGTGTTTCTCACTCTATTTACATATTGTCAGCATTCCTCCATCTTGTGGTTTGTTGGAGCAACTGCATTCAGACATTAAAAACTATCCGTAGGTGCAAATGTAGTCCAAAGAAGTGCTTTCGGATGTCTTCCTGTGAAGCAAAACTTTCACAGAGAGGTTCACCTTTTCTAGATATGTGCCTCGTGCTGTCAAAGATCAAAATAAATGTTTTTCTGGTAAGGAGATTGTATTAGCCTTGCTTAACTTTGCATAAAGATTAGCAGTAGGCACATAATTTATGTCTAAAACGCCTTTGAAAATGATCACACTATATTTTTGCTACGCAAAACTGTTAGCTAGTGTGAGTGTTGCGAGGCCGTCGGTTCAGTTCGACGACAGTTTTTTTTTTTAAGCAACAACAAAAATAATTTATCTCGCCTGTTATGACTAGGAATGAGCCGTTATTACCTTCACCTCAAAATGCCACAGTTTGACGTTTTTTTTACAATTAAAAAAATGTAAGTATAAGTTTATACCATGGCCTAATCGCTTTCATTTAAAACAACAGATCAAATTTTCCCCTCTACAGAAATACATAAAATAACTTTGATCCTTAATGCATCGTCAACATTATTTATAACATTAATTTAGTTTGATTTTGACACTCAGATTTAAGCTATAACGTATATAAAACATACCAGCTAAGTTTAGCAGTAGTATTTATTTAATAAGAAGAATATTATGACTTTTTCTTTTAGCATTTTGCTCAATATATGGTGGACCTCCACTTAAAACTGCATGTTTTTTTTATTTTTTTTATTTAATTTAAGCACCAAAAATATCTTAAGCAGAATAATCTGTAAACATGTGAATCTCTAAAAACTGAACCACAAACAAGCAATTGCTTGTTTGACAGCTCATTTGATAGCTCGCCTGCAGCTGCCTGCTTAAAACTTTAAAAAGAGTGAAGGATGGTGCACTTTTAGTTTCTACAACCAACTGTCTCATGTTTTGTCAGCCAGAAATATTTCCAGGCGATTTGTTGGCCTTACAAGTAGTGCAGTCGCTTCCCCCGCCCCCCTGCTAGCTAAAAACTATGCACCTCTGCGCTATTTTCTTACTTCATACAATCTGCAGTTACTGGGTAAAACAAAAACCTTTTTTTATTTTACTGCAGGAATGGAATGCTAAACATTTTTAGGGTTTCTGAACATAATGTTTCTTTAATTCTAGGTGTACTTTGAAACCAGCTCATGCATAGTTACAGCAATGCATAGTTACAGCAAAGTAGCAAAACTGTTTGAGTTCTTTTTGCCTCAGAAGATGAAATTTAGTTCTGAACTTGAGCTGCTTGAAATTGTTTTAGGGCAACTTCTGTTGACAAAGTGAGCTAATACTAACATTTCTCTCTCCATTTGACACGTTTAAGTACTGAAATGTCACATCCCCGTACAGGGATAGTACAGTATTAAGTGCGCTGTGAATTTATAGGGAATGTTAGAAGTGTAAATTATGTATCCCTGCAATTTAACGTTTTATGTGAACAGCAGCCAAATTTATAAATTTGAGGTTGGCTGGGGATCTATGACATTTAATGTTATAAGTTTGAGTATTCGGTTAGTTTTTTCTCACAAGAAACTCGGGAATTCAGACTACCATACTGCTTGAAAATGTTCCTGGGTAGTGTCAAAGTTTTAGCTACCCAGTTTCTGTCCAATGCACTTCTTCGGCTAAATTAAGCTGACTGGCAGTTAGCAGCTAATTCCAACCTGGAAGTAGTCTATTTCTACATAGGAATGTACAATATGACTCTCGACACAGAGAACATGCTCTCTGTGCTCGCTGAAGCATAACAGTCATAAAAACACATGTGTCAACCTGAGGAAACGACGTCACGGTTAAAGTCATCTGTAAAAAAAAAAAAAGTGGTCTCTGCTAATGAAACCGAAACCATTTCACCATGCGGAGTCACAAAAATGACATTGTAAAGTTTCTGATGTAGATGTGTGGAGGGGGTATAATTAGGGTCGTTTCTGTCTTTATAAACGCCACGCGACACGCCGCCGAACCGGACATTTCCCACTTAAACACTCAAGCCATCAACCTGCATCAGAAAGAGGTCTCCCCAGTCTAAGAAGAGGAAACCAGGTAAACATGGTTAATCACAAATCTATATGTTTTGTACAAAATAAACACATACTGTCTTCATTATTATTATTATTATTATTATTTACTAAGTAACTTTACAATGAGAAGTAAAAAGACGACATCTACAGAGAGAACAATAACCGTCACAGCTACATAGAAAACTACAGATTTCACTGCAGAGTTTTATTCCGTTGTCTTCTGGAAACAAGCGGCATCTCTCTGCCTGTTGTTTCTCTAACAGCTTGGCTCAGAGCTCGAAAACAAAGTAATACACTTAAGGGTTCCACAGACGGCAAAGGACCAACACGTACAGCGTCTGCTTCTAAATCGTAAAATGTGCAACACCCGTGTAACTCAGGTTGCATGCCAGATGGGGGCAGACGACTGTGACCCATTAGAGACGCCGACTATAGTACTCAGGTTTTTCCTTCAGAGATCACATCCTAAGACGCACTTCGCTCAAAAACAACGCCTGGAAGACTTTAGAAGAGATGGCACTTCAGTTTGTATGCGTGCATATGTGTTTTTTTTTTCAGACAAGGGTAAAATTCAGTGGTTTTATTCGCTGTAACAATTTCCGCAGGCAAGGAACCGCAGAGTTTTACCTTCGCTTGGACCCTGAGAAATGGGGCAATAGGACCTCTTCTATCAAAAATAAAGCAAAAATGCTTGTGAGAATGAAAAGACAGCATTACAGTACAATTCATTGTTATTATTATTTGTCAACCTAAGCAGCTTTAGTGAAAAACAAAGTGACTACTGGGGAAATGCCCGCAGAAGATCAGCCTCAAGTGCCATTCATATTCTTGGGTGCAGTTAAATATTTGTGCTCTGTGGTTCATTTGAAGAATAAGCAGCATAAGAAAACAAGAGGCTTAGTCCTAAACTGAAATCAACTAAGTCTGAGGTCACTCTGTGCTCTGGAAAATACTCTATTTAGAGTGTATGTACGGAAGGCCAAACCTGCCATAGTCAGTGAAAACAGAAATTGATAAATGGCTCAATAGAAAAATTTATGGACCGAAAAAAATCTAATAAAATGATTGCGATATAAAAAAAAAAATAAATAAAAAAAAATTACAGCATAATCAAATGCGTAAAAAAGGTTATCACTCCTCCTTTTTATTTGGAGAATTTTCACTTTATGGTTATTTTCTTAGTCATTTATTCCTTAACATTCGGTTCATTATTTATATTCTTAACACATGCTTATTTCATGTTTTATATTATTGTTTGTTTCATTGCAAAAGATTAAACTTTCATCGATTGCTTTTATCACTGGTCACTTCATCAAAACAAGAAAAATAATGAAGAAATAAATGGTCATATGCGAATGACAATTCTTTGAAGAATAAAATTGGTGACCATATATTTAAAAAAAATTATATTCAACATTTTAGATATAAAAAATAAATGCATGTAACAAGTAAATGAATTGAAAAATGAAAACAAATGAATATGTATATGTAACATTATTAAATAAAATGACATGATTCATTACAAATATTGAATATTTTGACAGCTAAAAACAAAATACAAAAATGCAATTTATGCGACTTCTTACGCCATCATATGTTTGGGTACATTTAGTTTATTTACTGGGCCTTTTATTTCTTTCTGTTTGAGTAAAGCAGGTTCGATCCTTCACGTCTACTAGTGCGATTCGGTGTGTCCGCCTCTTTTTCTGGCTGCAGAACGAAGCTTATTTTCAGTTTTGTCCGTGTCAGATGCCAGTGCCGACACGGTTCGCTGTCCCCCCCCCCCTCCCGCCCCTCTACGCTACAGCACCACACCGGCTGTCCGACCGCCGCCACTACGAAGTCGTCCGTCCCGCACGGACCTGGCCGACTGAATACCGGAGAACGGCGCGCCTCTCTTTGCGACTGCGTGCACAAAACGAGCGCATGCAGCTCCACGATCTACTGTACCTCTAACTGCTGATGATGAGGATGACATTTACAAGTTTTACACCAAAAAAAAAAAAAAAAAAAAAAAAAAACGAAAGGAAAGGAAGAGCAAACTCTATCATTAAATTACGCGGAACAAATCGACAACTCACTCCCGGCACACATGAACGCACGTTTACACGCTCGTCGCACACACGCAGACCTTTTGGATGACGACCCAAATTCCTTGATTCTTTCATTTTTTTTTCTTCTTCTTCTTTTGTCTAGAGATAACATGCAGACAGATAGAAGAGGTTAGGATAGATATAATAAGCCCTTACAATATGTAAAGGTCTCCAGCGAATGGGATCTCCCCCACAGAGAACTGTGGGAAAGTAGGGTGAGGATGGAGGAGAAGTGAGGATAAGGGAGGAAGAGAAGGAGGAGACGGTGGCCCAGTCGCGCTGACAGAGAGAGGCGGCGTCTATGCACTGGGGTTGGGGTTGTTGTGTGTGTTGGTGGAGCCGTTGCTTCCCTGGATGGTGAGGCTGATCTCATCCTTCTGCTCCGTCTCCTTCGCTTTCTCCTCCTCCTTGTGCTCTTCTCTTAGCTCCTCCTTCTCCTTCTCTTTCTCCTTCTCCTTCAGGGGCTGGGCTTCGATGGCGTCAGCGGGGGCCGCGGGGGCGTAGCGGCCTGTTCTGTGCTCGGCCAGGGCCGGGCCCCACTTTGGATGTGCTCGGCAGGCGTGCTTCAACCGCTGGTAGGAGAAAGGTGGAGAGGGAGGGACGTAAACATCAAGTTGAAACCACAAACTTTAACGCAGCGTTTTGAGTCCGTGCAACAGACAAACATAAAATATAGTCTACAATCGAGAACAGTAAGGAAAGTGACAGATTGTTTACAAATAAGAACCTCAAATGGAGCTTTGTCTTTTTCCCCCTTTTACTCAGATACCCCGTCTATGTACGCTGACAGACTGGACGAGGTGAAACAGCCATGAAGATCATGGTAACTCTAGGGGAGCTGTATATCTATACAGCTCCCCCAGTATATCATTAGTGGCATATTAGTGCCACTAATTATTAGTGCCATTAGTGCCTATACTGTTTTCTTAGGTATAAAAATCCAAAACACATGTCTCATGCCTTCCACATCACTCTGTGGTTACTTTCTGTTGGCCTATAGCACGATAAAATATGCAGAAGTTGGTAAGAGTTTGAAGAGAGCAAAATAATTTGCAGAGGTTTTGTTGAGCACATTTTATTCTTGCTTTTAAAAAAAACAAACTAGATTAAAACCTCTGTTTTCCAACGACGTTACATCACTATTCAGGAAAAGCCTCTGCTGGCCTCACCGGCAAGAACTTTGGCTTCCTGTTGTCATCAACGCACCAAGCTGGTGCAGTCGCAGATCACAGCATCTCCCCAAGCAAAAAAAATAAAAAATGTTTTCATTTGGCCAATTCTGGATTGCAAACCCTCTGCAGCCACAAGGCATCACACGCCACCAAAACTGTTGGAGTTTTTTTTCCCCTTTTATTTAGTAGTGTATTTCCATTAACTTTTTGCTTTGCAGATTATAACATCTTAAGTTTGACAACTTTCCGATTGAAGCTGAAGAAAATAGCACTAGGATGACTTTTACAAAAGTTTTAAATTGAAAAAAATATGTTTTTTTTTTATTTATGTTTGGGCACAGGTTACCTCTCTAAAGGTGGCCCCTGGGGACCTGGAAATCTTGTACAAGCCATAAACGGGTATGCAAATCACTGAGGAGAGGGCCATGGCGAAGCCGATAGCCAGGGACCAGCCGGGATACACGTAGTCATTGTAAGTGATGGGCTTGTACTGGATGACCGTGAAGATCAGGATGAACTGCAGACACACGGGAAGGAAAACACATTTAACAACGTCTCCTGGCAGCACCTCTACATTTCAAGTAGTTTTAAAGAAATGTAACAGAAACTGCACATGAATGTTTGTTTTTTAAATGTCCTTAGAAATATATACACACAATTACATATTTCATTTGGATTTAGAAGTGCTAGAACTTTACTGTTCAATTGATTTTCGGCGTTAGTGGCTGAAAACGTATCGAACATGTTCACTTGATGCTCCGTCAATAATTTCTAGAAAAGCCTTCATTGGTAATGATTGGTAAGATGCACTCACTGAATTATTTAACCCTAACTTTTAAGACTCATGTCATTTTATCACATGACTAATTCCATTTACCTATTTTCAAATAAACTTTACATTATTTGTATTCATCAACGCAATAAAGCATATTCATTTTAATCACTTAGGTTTATGTATTGTATTATATTCAGTCATTTCATTATGTTTGATCACTGGAATCGAACCTACAACCTTCCAATCACAATACAACTACCACAGAGCCACAGAGGAACATGGACCTGAGTGTTGGGTCCATGAAGTTCCTCCTCTTCTTCTTTTACCGACTTAAGACAGGTGGCAGCCAACTTAAAGGGACTTTACTGCCACCTTCTGGTGAAGGACATTGTGTCCGATTCCCCATTTCCCTTCAATGGAAACCATTCACATAAAGTTTAAATACCAGAATCTTGTTTGCTTTACAACTTTAATAATTTATACTTTGTCAGTAAATATTAGCTCATTACATTCACTGCATTCTAGAATTGATTAGATTATGTAGATAAAAATTAATGTAAAGCCATATGTATACAAGATAAATAAATGTAAATGCATGAAACTTAACTCTGCCATTAATCATTTCTGTAACAAACAGTTTGACTTTGTTTATTTTGTTTGTTGTTTTTACCAACAACCGATGTCCTATCCTAAGAAATTGTGACACATTCAATACCTTGATACTTATTTCACCTGCTGCGTCACACAAAACCACACAAGAACAAACAAAAGAAAACGTTTCATTCTCTCGCAGCACGCAGGAAATTAAAAATCACAAACCCAACACCCGAAGTCAGAGGAAGCTTTAACGTGGCGTTTGTAGTCGGGGCATCCTATTGTGCGGTGAAATGCAAAAGAGAACAAAAGTGCCCTAGATGTGACCAGTAATCCACAACAACACATTTCTCAGCTGACAGAGTGGGAATGAAAGGACTAATTTGGCTGTTTGGGAAATACTATTGACTGTAGCTCCATGCTTTGAGAGATTTGGACTGCAAAGAAAAGCAGTGAGCGAGGAGATTAGCCGGAATGTAGGTCAGGTCCCCAACAACTGGTCAACAAGTCAAGAAATGTTTCTCTCTCTCTCTCTTTCTTCTTTTTTTTTTTTAAAACATCCACTCTACTGAACCACAGCGCTCCCGGCTTCACATCACAGTGTGTGTGTGTGTGTGTGTGTGTGTATGTGTGCGTGAACTCACAGAGATAATGACAGGTGAGATGAATCTCCAGCAGACTTTGAAGAAGAGAGGAGGAGGAAAGCCCAGCATCATCTCAACATCCTTGAAGTAGTTCCTGTGACCTGGAAAGAAGAGGAAATAAATGTTCATCCAGGAAGAGAAGTCTTACAAAGACTCCTATCTTTCATCCGCTTTTTTTTTATTTTTTTAACAAAACTGTGACATGTATTTGTGTGGGTTTTTTTGTTGTTTTTTTAATGGTTTTTCAGGGAACAAAATGTTGATAAAACCTCTTTTTTACCCTTGTCTGTTGATACTCTGACTATAACTGATCTATATTCCTGAAAGCGTTTCAAACCCTCGGTGCTTTGGCTCAGAATAACAACGACTCTCCTGACGCTTCTGCTTAGCTCAGCTGACAGGTTTAGTGGAATCACAGTCCTAATTAGAGGGGAAAAGCCCCCGCTGGAAACCGGCGGATGAGTCATCTTCAAAAACAACCGAACGGTGTCTGCAGGTTAATTTACGCCAACAAGGGATCTGATGAAGCGATTAATTGTTTCAGTGTTGCTACAACTCGTGAAATTCTGACATTTGGCGTTTTAATTAAAAGACAGTGCGCGTCATTTGGTTCGGTCTGATTATGGAGAAGAATACCAGAAATCTGGAATGTTTAAATAGGCCTGATCAGGTCATGAGTTGGAACTTTTGTGTGTGCTGAATTAGAGCTTTTGTTCCAGGAATCATACGATTGTTCATGGTCAAAATTACAATGAGGAGTCAGACTTTTGCTGTCTGTGTGTTTTAAGCAGAAAAGAGAATGCTTCACTCGCTTCTTTGTTGTACAGACCTCTCTTACAATTCCAGCACCGTGGTTCTGCTCTTATTAGCATAAAGTGTCTTGCAAAAAATATTTTTACACCTTGAACATTCTCCCATTTGAACAACAGAGTACGTGTTTGCATGCAGGGCGAAGTGTTCAGATTTGGACGTAGGGGACGAGAGCGACTTCTTAAAATTGTTTGCCAATCCTACATGGCCTGAAGCAACAAAACAACACCAAAAAACCCCCAAAAAACATAATTGTTCTTTCAGCTTTAGAGTTCTGCAGCTCCTCTAGAGTTATTATAAATTTCTTAGAAACTTTGATAACACTTTATTTGAAGGGGTGTGCATAATACTGACATAATTATGCCACTTCACTACTGTTGCCGTGAAGTGTCATTCAGTAAATAATGGACTTTTAATGCAAGTTTTAGTACAACGCTGCATTAAAAGTCTCATTATTCACAACGACACTATATGACAACAGTCAGACATTCCTCAAGACTCCTTCATCTTCACAACAGGAGCTATGTTATTTTTATGAAAGTATTATGCACACCCCTTCAAATAAAGTGTTAGTGAAACTTCATAATTAATGCTTTCTTAACTTGCTTGAGGTGGATGGCTGTGTCTTGGTAGGTTTCCAGTTGTGTCATACTGTCTCTTTGCTAGTGTGTCAGTATGTCTTAATGAGCCGATTTGTCCAAAATTGGAAAATTTATGTTACGTCGATTTTCCAATTTGTGTAACACTAGGACAGATTAACAGTGGATTTTCAAATTGCTCAGGTATTGTCAAATATATTGTGTATTGTGGTAAATCCCTAATAGAACAGGTAAGGGTTTAAAATATAACTATAAGATATAAATAAATTAATATATAATTTTCTGCTGGAATAATTTAGAAGTCCGCTGAACTACAAAAACACAAAATACACTGGGCATTTTTATAGTATGACCCTATATAAACTGCATCCTTTAAAGCCTTCCATGCTTTTGCTTTTCTATGAGTTCTCGTCTGTTCTGAAACGTGAGACAATTAGCCTAGCATAACTAAATAAAAAGAGAAAACTTGTCCGTTTCAGTCACATTTTGGTTGGTTTGCGTAACAACAAACAAAAAAAATATATTTGCTAACAGTAACATGCTGGATATTATAGGTTTGATTGTCACCCTACTCACCATAGACATACATGATGCAGATACACATGATGCAGGAGATGACGACCAGAGAGAAACTGGCAGCGTAGTTGTCCATCAGCAACAACCAATAGATTCCTGCCTGCAAAAATACACAAAAACCAAGACTTTGCTGAAATGTGTCCCATACAGGAGAAAACGTTTAAACACTGCGGCGGCGGCGGCATGGCTCACCTGCGTGGTGAGCGGGATGCCCAGCAGGAAGCCAACGACGGCCACTGAGAGTGTGACCACGGTTTTGTTCCTGATAATCCAGTCTGTGCCAATCTCGTCCACGATGGCCGTCACCAGCGTCTCCAGCAGGCAGAACTGAAAAAAATAAATAAAATATACAAGAACAAGGTTTAGGGAGTTCAAACCGTGGATTAGAACTGGGAAAGCTCTTGCTCAAATTCATCCCCAACATACTGAGAGGAGATCAAAGTGATTCTTGACAGTTCATTCAAACTTTGACATTTCGGTGGGGGAATAATGTTCATGTTAAATATGGGAGTGTGACTATGGAGATTTATAATACCAGTATTTTCTCTGCATTAAAAAAAGCAAAAAAGCACTTAAGAAAAGCAAATTTATTAAAAATGTATGTTTATATATTCTGATTTGGGCTCAAAAAAATCACAATTATTATTATTTGGTGTTTACTCTTGTTCTTCTATCTTTCCCATTTTGAAAGAGACTTTATCTCACCTTATATTTATTTTAATTATCATAAAAAAATAAGGTATTAATGGGTGAAAATAAAAACTGTCAAGCTTGTATGAGGAAAGGTTCTGCAAATGCTTGGAGCCAAAGTAAATCTTTTAAAAAGAAAAATGGAGATTCAAACAAAAATGCTAATCTGTTGTTGTTCTCAACTCCATTGTTACCTTTCAGTACCTTCTGTTTAAGTTTCATTCATACTTTCATATTTCAATAATAATGATGATAATGAAAAACCCTTAGCCTGTTCTCACCTGGGTTCCCAGCCCCAAGAGGATGAGCATGAAGAAGAACAGCAGCGACCACAGAGGTGAGATTGGCAGCAGGGTGAGGGCTTCAGGGTACGCCACGAAGGCCAGGCCGGGTCCGTGATCAGCCACTTCAGACACCGGAACATTCAGGTGGTGCGCCATGAAGCCCAGGATGGAGAAAATGACGAATCCGGCGTACACACTGGTGGCACAGTTAGTTATGCTGATGATGATGCTGTCTCTGTGTATGGGAAAAGGAAGGAAAAGACGCAGAAACTTTTGGTAAACCGCAGGCAAACATGTTGTTCTGATGGTGATGACACTATTTTGCAGTTCAGTGTCCGTGCCAAACAGTTAGGGCGAATCAAGAAATGTGGTTGTAAAACAAATACCAAACAACTAGAGAAGCTACGAATTGTCCAATAATGTTTCCTTTTCCTTAAATGGATCAAATAGAAAAACTTCCACCATTTTTTATCTACAAACAAACACACACAGCTTTTACTTTGATTAACTTTTTGAATAAATCAAAAAGTTAAAAACTGGCTGACAGCAGATAAGGCCTGATTTGTGCATATTCTTGGAAAAAGATTTGGAGTAGGGATGCATAATGTTGGAGTTGATATATCCGATATGCCAATGTACTGAAACTTATTTGGCCAATGTAGCGATATGTTTTTTCCCTGAATCTGCTTACTGACACTATATGGTTTTTTCTACTGTGGAATTAAAGTACTGCATTATCTTTGTAAATTTAGCCTGCTATCAAATGCAAATGCTAAAAAAAGAGTCTAAAAATTATGTAAGACTTTCAACTGGCATTATGTTTAATCCCAAATCTATGCATGACGTTTCCTCTGCCTAGACAATGACAGCACTCAAGCAGCGCACACTTGACATCATGCTGTGCTGCAGGCACCATTGCCAGGCCTTTTATATCGGTGACTTGTTTTGACAGAATGGTCGATGTCTGATATTAAATTGTACAGCTAATATCAGCGGATACCATGCCGATCATACAGTACATGTCTAATTTGGAGTAAGCTGAGCTGGTCGGGACCGATCACAACTTTTTAAGTCTAACAATTCTTTAATCCTAAATACCAGAGTTGAGTTTACTCTGTGTAAAGATTGCATTGTGCAGTGAGATGAAACGAGACAGGAGTCAGGATGGACGCCTGGTGACAGCCCACTGACTTCTTCTTTTCATCCACTCTCTGTATTGCATTTACTCAAACTTTCCACCAGGGGAATTGCACATTTTTTCCCCCTTCTATTTTCCACTAAGGTAACTGAAGAGGATGTCTTACAAAACATAAATGCCTGTTTTCTATATATATGTTTTGTTTCTTTTTTCCACCCCGGCGGCTGCTCTCTCCTTCACTTTGCACTTCTGCTCATGTGCTGACTGGTGGTGTGTGTCTCTATGGGGCCTGAGCTGCAGAACAGAAGCTCGTTGGCACCTCTGTGCAGCTGCCTGGGCAGATAATGCTATCTCACGCTGCTAGAGGAGGAACAAATTATATCTTCAACCTTCCTCTTTGGCCTCTGGAGCCTCTTGGCACCGTCACTGTCAACATGTGGGGACAACCTTTGAAAATAAGTGACAAGTTCGTTCCTTTTATTGCCCATTTCCTAAGTTGGAACCTTCTCCAACGCTGTTTGCTCTCTCTCCCCTGTTGACCAAGCACAGAACAAACCGCCTCTAAGCACAGGCCAAAAAAAGTACCTTGCTCTGACAAATAGTTTTAAAGTTATTCTTACTTACTGTGGATCAAGCAGAGGTGGGTGGAGTACCCAAAACTCGTACTCAAGCAAAAGTAGCACTACTTTCACATATTTTTACTCAAGCAAAAGTAAAAAGTAACCTTCCAAGAAATACTCAAGTAAGAGTAAAAAAGTATTTGGTAAAAAGTCTACTCAAGTACTGAGTAACTGATCAAATTATCAATCTTTTAAAGTTTAAAAATGACATTATAAAATAAAGTTAAGTGAAAATGTTAGTCGTTTGAAAATAATTCCTTTAAGTTATGAAAAATAAAATCAGGCAAATTAAAAACGTTCTTAATCAGTTTCTTTCAGAAATAATAATAAAAAAAACCCTCCAACTTTAAACTGAAAAGATGAATAAATGCATCCCTTCCCACAATGATTACCAGAAGCTATATTCCCTAAATTGACATGTTCACTAACAACATCACTAACAACTTAACGCACAGACCAAAAGAGAAACAGTCCAGACTCAGAGAGAGAAGATGCACATGTCACCCTGCATAATGAGGAGAGACGTGGGCCGCCACTTATTGTGTCATCCTCTGCTTTGGTCATTCTTCTGTAGCAAGACTCTGAATGGAGAACAAATCCTCAGACCCATTCTGTCTATGGAAAGATGTAGTCTGGTAGTTCTTACATGTGTCCTGTATCTAATTAGATGGAATCCTTTTTTTTAAATGGACCTTAGCTGGTTTGCATAAAAAAAAAAATAATAATAATAATAATAAGGGTGGCCCAGACAGATAAGGTTTGTGGGGTAATGGGGCTGTGTAGGTTTGGATTTTGTTTCCTCCATTAATAATAAAACACACACATTTAAAAACTGTCTTTTGTGTTTGCTTGTGTTGTCGCTGAATAACATGCAAACTGGTTTGATGTTCTGAAATAAGGATGTGTGACAAACGGGGGAAAAAAATTAAAAAAGGAAAGCGGCAAACACTTTTTCTCACCACGGTGGGACAACAGGAGATATTTTTCATACTGAGTAGGTGTTTCACTCAGGAAGATGATTGGCGGTGCACCACCTCCAACCTCCATTTCCTGTTTAAATTATAATCACCTGTAAGTAACCAACCAATTATGCTTATTTTGGGACGGTAAAAATTCAAGTTCACCAGGAAATAAGAACCTTCAAAATTCTGCAATGTCCCTTTAAAGCAGTTGCAAGTGCATTTTAATACTTCAAAGTCTCCTTGTACCGTTTTCACTCTTGTGAACTTTGAATTCATTTTTTTTTTTTATTACAGCACCGGCCCTTTAAATCACATGTTTCATAAGTCTTTACCTGAAACAGTTGTTGTGGAACTTGTTATAAGAAGCCATCGTGATGAGACCGCCCCAGGCACAGCCCAGGGAGTAGAATATCTGCGAGGCAGCGTCTCCCCACACCTGCAGGGACAAAACCACAAAGAAACAGAGGCAATGCCAGGGAAAAATAAATAAAACACTTCAATTGAAAACAACTGTTTTCCAAGTTAGATCAGTACATACCTTTGCATCAAGAACCTTCTGCCACTGTGGAGTCAGGTAGTACTTAATGCCGTTTATAGCGCCATCCAATGTGATCCCACGGATGAACAGAATAGTCAAAACGACATAAGGGAACGTGGCTGTGAAATACACCACCTGCACACGGAAACAGTCGACAGAAAGCTGCTGAAATCGGTTGAAATGCTTCAACTGCAAATGCGAGAAACGCTGTGAATTTGTACTTGCGACCTGACCTTTCCTGAAGACTTCACGCCCCGGATGAGACAGAGGAAAACCACGAACCAGGAAACAGCCAGGCAGCCCAGGATGGGGAGGCGGACCTCCCCGAAGTTTCCTATGTCATCGGAGATGTTCAGTACATAGTGCCTGAAAGGAAAAGCCAACGAATGATAAAATACTTTCATTTACTATTCCCCAAATCTTATTTATATTTTAGAATAAGAAAGGAAGCTATCACAAATTAGTTCTCCATCCATGTCTTCTCAACTTTTTGTTTATGCAATTTATTTTTACTGACATTTTTCTGTTTCTCAACAAAATCCTGTACTTGTTTTATTGCCTGGTACTAGGTATGGCTGTTTATCCGGGCCCCTGAGTTGATATTTGCGTGTTTCTGGTGCTCTTATAAACCTGACGCACAAGCAGCGTCCGCTGACAACAGCGGTCAACGACAAAATTGCTTCTCTTGGTCCCCTGAGGGTTCACTTTTGCTTCAAAAACCTTTCTGATGGGATGCTGGAGAATAATTATTGTTATGTGTAAGATAAGGTATGGAAAAAAAAAGTTTGGCTGAAATCGCATCTCAATACAAAACGTGGTAATGCTATTGTTAGCATCAACAGTACACATTTCTAAAGCAGTGCTTCTTTTAAGTTTTTGATAAAAATTTAATTTTGATTAATTAAGTACAGACCCTGAAGTTAACTCTATTAAAACTTTATGTCTTTACTCAACAACGGCCCTCTGGTCTTTGACTGGCGTCGTAATGAAATTACATTTCAGCTGCATCCTGAGTTGACTGAGTCAGGCTCAGTCAACTGAGGTTAGCTGGTCGTTATCTTTTACTGTAGTGATGCATACAGATAAAAGTTGTTCAGTCACATTTGCACAGACAAGAAAGAAAAACGCAATTTCTCTCTCTGTCTCAGAAAAAGACTTTGTATTCTTAAGTTTGAATCCGCAGCAATTTGCTCTTACTTCCAGTATTCCTCGCTGGGGCTGGTCCTCTTGGTGCGGTTGACCACCTCCGTCACCCCGGCTACCAGGCTGGTGGTGGCGTTCACCAAGCTGCCGTTCAGCTGGGCGCCGCTGCCGACCACCCCGCTGCAGTCCGGCGTGTTCCAGGGGTTGTTGCAGTACGTCCAGGGCAGCAGGTTCGTCATGGACATGAAGAAGTAGTAGAAGGCGATGCATATGACCACATTGTAGTAGATCCCGATGTAGGTGGACACGACCATCATGCCATAACCGACACCTGATCGAGGAGAGGAGAAGAAGAACCAAAAACATAAATAAAGGCATGAAATATCCTGCAAACGTTTCGTTCGACATTTTTGCAAGAAAAAAAAAGGCATTGTCAGTTTATTACTGACTAAAAATGTTGTGTTCACACAACTTTTTTCTTTGGTCCTGTTTGCTGAGTTCTTTCACAAAACCAAAAGTTGGACGGAAACACATTTGAACGCTTACCTTTGAACATAGGGCTGATCTTCCAGACACCCAGACACCCGAGGCTAGCAAACTGACCGAAGGATAACTCGAGAAAGAAGAGAGGGATGCCGCAGAATACCAACATGATGAAGTATGGCAGCATGAAGGCACCTGGGGAGACACGCGGGCAAAAAACTTAAGATATGATATTCCATCTGATTTTACAGGCAATTAAAAAGAACTAAATGCATGAACGCTGCGAGGGAATTTTACATCTACACTTTAATTGCTATCCAAAAAACAGAGGGATCAAGAAGGGGGGCAATCGTGAGAGGCAATTATGCACTGCATCATTAAACATTGCATAAGTTCCATCCATTTATTTTTCTTATTGCTGGGTTACCAGTATAAATCAAATATATATTCAAAATTGCAGAGTTCAATCAAACTGCAGCAGCAAGCTTCAGAGCGACATGAAAATGACTATGCCTAACTGTGTAAAGGTGGAGCCATGCTCAAGTCTGAACATAAAGTTGAAAACAGCATACGTTTCTCCATAAACTGTAAGCTTTATGGTGGAGTTCAAATAACTTTATGCTGATTATGGATAGTCTGCTTCCCACTTGCTTTGCAGAACAGAGCAATTCTGACTTCAGAGAAAAATCAATAATGATTTGTAAGGCCACCGACCAACAATTACCACAGGAATCAATTTTCAATTGAGCCCAGAGAGGACTAATTGTAATGCATTATAATCTTACAATACTAAAAAAGCATTTTTCATCCATCTTTTAGGGTCATACAATGTAAGGTCTATCAATTCTAGATAAGAATCGAATATTATATTGCAAGTTGGCTGGTTTTACTTTTGAAAAGAAATCAACTCTGCATCTTCGACTTAGCCGGAACACATAGCACTCCAAGTAAAGGAAAAAAGAACAAGTAAGCAAAGATAAACCTCATCTGTGGTGAGAACATGTCATGTGTTCGCTGAGGGGTCAGTAAATGTCCAGCTGAGGCCGTCCAGCTGTGCTCAAGCAGAAATTAGACGGGCCAACCGTGAGAAACATCTGCATGTGTGTTTTCGGGTGTAATTTGTCGTACCAGCTGATCCAGGGCAAAGTTAGAAACCTCGTCACTACGGCTAAAGAGTTAGCCATCTTCTGCATGCCACACATCTACCGACGGATGCAGAGTCAGGGTGTGTGGATGCAGCTCTCTACCAGGATCCCACCTGTGCGTCAGATACATGAAGCACAATCTAGACAATCTAGGAGTGACAGTTCGTGACTGTAGCTGCGATTAAATCCACCTTATTCACCACTTTGTTGACTCTGAACTGGTTCCACTGGATTTTGTTTGCTGCTGTCAGAGTAAAGGGAACTACTTAAATGTGTACACCACACTTATCAGATTTATAGATATATATATATATATATATATATATATATATATATATATATATATATATATATATATATATATATATATATATATATATATATATATATATATATATATATATATATATATATATATATATATAAAGAATATCAAGCAGTGTTACATCCACTTCAAAAACACATGTGTTGGTCTAGCAAGAAAATCCAAACAAAATATTAAATCTAAAGCTTGTGGGGTTTATTTGGCATGTTTTGTAAAAAGAAAAAAAGTAAAAAAAGAAATTAAGAAAATCTGTATATATTTTTACAAGGCATTGCATATGTAACAGTGTCGACACACTAGGCATGTTTGAAGTGATGGGGTTAAATTGTAAAGGATGAAAACACAGATTAAATGAAATGAGGCAAATTTAATTGACTGTCTTTCAATCTTCTATCACAGATGTACTCCACAGTTTGGTCCTTCTCCTCTTCTCTGTGTAACATTTCTGACAGATTACTGTCCAATCGAAGCCACTGAAAAGTTCTTTAAAAAAAAGGTAGTTCTAAACTTTAAAGCAAAAACAATTCTCTCTAAATAGAAAACCAACAACAAAAAAAGCTAGCTAACTAGCTGGCAATGGGCTTTTTCAGCAGCTAGTTAGTGGTAAAAAAAACAGTAACTGGCTAACAGAACACATTATTAGAAACATCGTCATTTTGTTCTGTGTGTGAAACTTCATGTTGTTTTTATGACATGGACCCCAAGAAGTGGGTCCACATCCTTTTTGGGGTCCACGAAGGATGTGGGTAGACATTTTTACACAGTCAGCACTGGCTAAACTTTTGCCTGACAGAAAAGACTCAAGAGCAAACATAAACTACACATGACATAAAAGATTAAATATTCCTAATAAGACGTCTTATTAATCAAAGGGCAAATACTATTTTTAAATGAATTTAAGACATTTTAGGGTTTTGATGCTTATAAGACGGGCACCCTCTGTAATGGTACGACAGCCCAAAGGCAGCTGGGACGCGTACCTCCTCCATTTCTGTAGCAGAGGTAGGGAAACCTCCAGACGTTGCCCAGCCCCACTGCATAGCCCACACTTGTGAGGACAAACTCGATCTGGTTGCCCCAGTTCCCCCTCCGGGAGTTTTCATCCTTCTTCACGGGCTCTCCTGGAACGGCTCCATTCTGCAGCAAAGAAAGAAAGAGAAGGAGAGGCACATGGGTGACTTCAGGTTGCAGCGAAAGCGACTGGCTTTCCGAGATAGTGTTGCTACAGTGAGTTCAGCAGTTTCACATTCCACATTAAAAATAAAAAAAAACACCTTATTGATCCTGTAAATTGGTCTCATCCTCACTTCTAACAGCTCCAAGTCTCTGCTGGGCGCATCTGAAGGAGTTATCTTTTTCTCTCGATTGTGAAGTTCGGATATTCAAGTGTCATGGTTGTTATCAGTTATTATTATCTCCTCTGCCCCGAAGTGGAGCATAAGGTGGGCTTGCTGGAGCAGAAAGGATGGGAAGTGAAATCAGTGCCTTTAGAAAAGCCTCCCAGCATTCACTTTGTGCCGCCCTGATTTCCAACTTCTCCTCTGCTCTCCTCCCTCCATCGTTCCATCTGCTGGCATCAGATGGCCGCTCTCCCGTGACCCCTACGCCCCAGACCCTCAGCTGTGTGTCTTGTCGGCCCCGTTTGTGTCTGAGCGCTGCTCACATGACGGCACTTGTGCCGATGCTGCATGACAGATAAATACCGCTAACTCAGATCGCCGAGGTGGAGCTCGAGGTGTCGCGCACGGACTGGAAGTAATCCGACATTCGACTGACTGAGTTCTGCCGATTCAGTTGAGCAAAAGCTGCGGCGAATCGGCAAAAAAGGTGAAATCATCCAAACGATGGGCCGGAGTACATGAGCGAAAATGTTTGACTTTAGTACTTTAGGTGGAGAAGAGCTTGAAACATGGTTAAATATCTCTGCTTCCTCCTCCCATCATTTTCAAACACTAATTTCAGCTTTTCAGTTTCACGGTGTTCGGGCTCGACGACGTGTCAAAGAAAAACGACGTGAGTGGAGAGCCGTTGTCAGGCTGCAGCTGCAATGCAGAGGTGTCGGTGTTGCCAAGGTATCATATCACTGAGTAAAAATAACCCGGCATAATGCTATATACGCACATATTCATAAAATCATTTGACTTTTAAAGACAGAAAAGGAGGAACGGTTGCGACAGTTGCTAAAGTATAACACTGATTGTTACAATAACAACTCGCAGGTGAAAAAGGCAGGCACCAGAATGACTGGCGGTTTCTCTGGCTGTGATGGAGAATAATTTACTTGCATCTGTGCACTGCCAATCAGCTGGCAGGAATCAGTCCTGATTCCTGCAACAGAGACAGTGTAGGACTTATCTCTAACTGAATAATTTAATAAAACAGTAGCAGTGGTGTTAGAAGTATAACAAACTTCAAACACCACTTTGCAGATTTTGCTTCTGCACAGCAAGTATTGACAACTACATGTACGTTTATTCTGTATTTCTGCTCGTCTTTGCCTTATTAAAGAAAAACATTAAAAATTAATGTACGTATAATAATTGGTATGCTCTATCAGTGTTAGGATATGTTGCTTTTCTTTGCTAAGTAAAGCACTTAGAGCTCATTGTTTCACATTTTCTGTGAAAGCAGAGATACCTCGAAACTGTGGTTTGATATAGTCAGTGTTATTGTAGAATAAGCTGCACATAACTCAGAAGTAGCACATTTTTGCTGATAAAGACCTTTTTCCCAACAAACAAAGCTCCTACAGAGACATCATGTTCATGAGCATGGAAAAAAAAATACTTAGACAAAATAGCAACAAGCATACAAACAGCTGCCATATTTTCTGGAAGAAAAAAACCCTCTTGTCTGAGTCCAGCTGTGCGGGCATGTTTGGAGGGAAAACAAACACAATTTCTCCGGCTTCCTTGACCTCTGTTTCCACAGGTCTTCGTATTGCAGGTGCCACAGACAGAAAAGATCAGCAAAACAAGCTCCGTCGCTCGGGGGAGCCTCCGAGTGAGCCGGCGGCTGCAGTGGTGCGTGGGTGGAGACCGCCAGCAGAGACGCCGCCGTCGCAGCGGGTGGCGCATTACAACATCTCCGTCCCAGAGTTGACTTTGGAAGAGCAAGAAGCGGCGGAGCAGACGTGAGCAGCTGTGTGAGCGCTCCCCGCAAACATGTCGGGAATACTTCTTGTGCCGACCGGGGGCAACCAGGTGTGGGCGTGCACGGAAAACACAAGCAGATGTAAGAGCGGGACACGAAACTCCGGGAATAGCAGTGATCCTTGGATCTCTGGTGTTTGTTCTATAAAAGCTCAACTTGATGTGCCCAAGACAGGCTTACACACGCATACACACAGTGTGTGTGTAGAATCTGAAACTAGTAGCACAGGGACAGAAGATGAAGAAAATGTTGAGTATAGGTGTGCATTTTATGCTACACAGTGACATTTCAGCTTATGAATTCTGATACAAACATCTTGTACTCACATTTTCATGGCTGCCTCAAAGTAATAAAAGTGATTTCAAGAAGATTCTGAAATATTTCTTCTTAAATATCTCATGTCATCAAACAAATACTATTAATAAACATTGGAATGATTGTCTGGGGCTGCTCTGATGCCTCAGGACTTGGACAGTTTTTTCTAATTGACAAAACAGTGAATTCTGCTCTATTTTCTTGAAGAAATTCAAATTGTAGCATGAATGTTTCAGTTTCATGCTACAATTTTGATGGATTTAAATCCATCAAAATCTGGATTTAAATCCATCAAAATCTGGATTTAAATCCATTTCAGTTATTTCAATGCAACCTTAAAAAGTTATTCAGGCTCAAAAACCTGTGCGATGTGACTGTATGATAAACAGATTTGCAAAGAACAGTTGGCCAGATCTCTTCCAGAGTGGAAACCTACCAGTTGTATTAGAGAATGAAGTTTGATTGTTGATCTGAAACATGCGACAGAAAAGGAAAAACAGCTAGAAAAACAGGAAGATATTTTTTTCTTAATTTGTGATAATTGACGTAAACCATTCATGCATCAATTAATCAGAAGTTTAAGTAAATCAAACGTTCCAGTAGGAACCTTCGCGTTGGTACGTTTCTGGTACTCCGGTAAATCTGACGCACAATCAGCAAACCGGCCAAAAATGGCCGACAGTTGTGCTGGATATTACATAAATTTAATCTGGTTACTGGAGTGTTGTTTCTCCAAACAGCCATGATGTCATAAATGAAACAGTTTTGCTACATACCAAAGCTATATATTAGAAACATCAGAAATGCACATCTTCACTGACACACTGGAAAACAGACAGTGTTTGGTCAGAAGATGAATTGTGAAACTTGAAACCTGACTGTACAAATATACATGCCACTTTCATCAAGATATCTAAATCTTTTTTTTCCTTTACAATCACTTTCCTGCGCTCAAATGTCTACAAAAAAGTGATGGTGAAGGAAAACTAGCTGCAAGAAAAGCTGCTGAAACACTAGACAGCTTTGCAACGTTCAAGACAACTACTTTTTTTTCTCCTTGTGATGAAATTGAACTTTTAGCTATAAATCTGTCACAAGCCAACATTATCACAAAACGAGGTCAAAGGAAAGAGCAGGCATGCTAATGTTGGCAAAGTGCTCAACGAATGGCTTCACCTGAAAACAAGATGTGAGTTTAGTAAGACATTAAATGACTTCTTTTCTAAGTTTAAGTTTGAAAATAGATAGCAAAGCGTTCGGTGATGCTTTATAAAATGTTATATTGGATATCATGCCCAAGTTAAGTTAGAGTAGCATATAGTGACTTGCAGAAATTCCACTTGGGACAAATCAGCTGTTTCTTTAAAGACAAATGCATACACAGTAGAACTGCATTATTTTTACTGAACTTTTGCGTCACTAAAAATAATGCTACAAGATTAGCCCACCAACCAGATAGGTGGGCTAATCTGGTAAAATGAAGGTAAGGCGAAATATTGAACTGGGATTCTACTTTAGCAAAAACCTCTTGATTAATTTGAACCTGGAGAGACATAATTCTGACTTGGACCTTCTTATTTAAGACAATACTTTTGTTGAAGCATGCCAAAAAAAAAAAAAAACACAGGAGAAAAGAGAATATTCATAAGATTGTTTTCAAAGCAGCTGGCTTTAAATTGTGCAGCTGACAAACCCTGAAGAGCCTTTACATATGTCTGACTCATTCTCTGGTGATACAGAGTCAACGACTCTCATTTTTACTTAACTCCTATGGAATGAAAAGTGGCACATGTTCAACAGGGATCTCATTAAGACGGACCCAAGGTGGTGACTAACTCTGAGCTACAACCACTAGCTGGACCCTGAGGGTGACATCGGTATCTGACCACAGAGCATCTCTGTGCCCAGGTGTTGCTGGCCTGCGGCATTAGCTCCCTGGACCTCCTTGTCAGACATGCAGACGGTCTTCTTCCCTCCATCCATCCACTCCTCCATCACATGGTTCTCCATATGGGCTTTATGTAACCATCAGTCCCCTCTCTTCTGTCCTTTATTTTAGTCCGTAGCTTTCACCAGATTTTTTTTAAAATAACCGCTCTAACCTTGCTCAAACCCATGTCACTTTTGGACATTTCTGCCATTGTACAAGAACAAATGAGCAGCTAAAACCTAAGAGCAGCTAACAAGACAAACTTCAGGAATAACCAGCAGAATTTTTTTTGGAGAGATTTGTGCTTTGTTTATTGTTGTCTGGGGTCCCTTGCTAAGTAATAAAAACATCAGCATCAACTGTGAAACATTCTTGTTATGCAGGAGCTACGAACATGAATGTTTTAACAAGGATATTTTTTTTTATCTGCCAGGTCGACACAAAGTGGAGCATCGTCGTGAAGTGACAAACTTTTCGAGGTACAGATGAAAAGAACTGTGCTTTTTGCAGGAGATCTTTACTTTGTAATTACAGCTGCACATCTATTGTGATATTTCTATGATTTCTACATTTAGGGAGTAATCATTTTTAAGTAATAATAAAAAAAAAAACATCAAGTACTAATAGTATTAGTAGGGGCAAGTCTTTCTTGCCCCTACTCACAAACTGCATAAATATCAAAGGGGGTGTTAATACTTTTACAAAGCGCTGTAAGACCAGAACCTACATAACAAATCGT